GGATCGTAATGCTGGTCCAGGTCGTGATGCTTCATGCCATCGGTGCCCGGCGCGTACTCGTTCCACCAATCCTGCAGATGGACTCAGCCCGCTGATGATAGCAACTTGACTGCGAAGCCGCTTTGGCAACCAGGGAACCTTAAACCCTAAACGGTTTAGGGTTTAGGGTTTACAATCTGCTTTGTTTCGCTCTCAGTCTTGGTCCAGGGCCGTTTGGGACTTGTTGTGAAGAGGCTCACCGGATGGAAATGTAGTGATCATTGCTGTTGCTTTCACCACCACCATGGTAGCTTGAAGTTCTGATGGGGTAGCAATAGATACGCGTCTCAAAGCTGCATCTAAAGCTCAGGGTTCTAGCGCTTGTTGAGCATTTCTTTCTTGCAGGCCGACAGTCAAAAAGGGTGCCAGGGCTTTCTAGCTAGGCCTTGATAGTAGGGGCTGTGCAGCGCAATCTTCGAGTTGAACCATTCATTGCACTGACACCATGTCCTCATGCAAAACAAGCATTTCATTGGTGTTGGTCAGTGCAGCATCCCTACATCTCCAAGCACAAAATCAAACTTCAAAGGTTAGGTTAATTAGTCACGGCATTTCAGAAAATTATGTCCCCCATGAGCCCGATGTTGCACGGCATACGTAGCCCTCGACCCCTGAACCCCAATCCTCTAAACCCTAAACCCCTAAACCCTGAATCTAAACCCTAAACCTTAAACCCCCAAACCCTGAATCTAAACCCTAAACCCTAAACCCCTAAACCCTGAATCTCAACCCTAAACCCTAAATCCTAAACCTCTAAGCCCTGAATCTTAAAGCGCAGTTCAGGGTTCACTCAGTTTCAGCGCCCGGGTTCTCTTTGTGTAGTTGCTTTGGGCGCAGGGACCGGGACTTTTGGAGACCCCCAACTGGTTAGGATTTAAGGTTTATAGGGTTTAGGTTTTAGGGTTTAGGGGTTTATAAGGGTTTAGGGTTTACCTACAGTCTCCATTGTAGTTCCTTGTTTTGTTTAACCAAATTCCATGTTTAGGATCCTATAAGGTAACCCCAAAAAGGAACTACGATGGAGACTATAGGTAAGTCATCTTAAACTGTCTAGGGTTTCTGGCTTCAGGATTTTCGGTCATCCAATGTCTGATGCTTCCGAAATGAACTCGCCCTGCCAGGCGTGTGTCACTGGTTGCTGCCAGACAGTTCGCAACCTCTTGCGTGAGGGCGCCGATGTCAACTTCACGTGGGAGGGTTGCATCAAGGAGCCCTCGTCCAAATCTTCAACTCTCAATGTGAGAGTTTCAGAAAACGAGGTACCTTGTATGGTGGTACGGACTTCGATTCCCCAATTTTTGTTATGCCGTATTCTGGTGTACTTGCAAGAAGGGATCTTTTCAAGGCGTACATTAAGGATCCCGATTTGTGTAACAAAAGTCCCATTCCAATTGTGTTACCTTTTGTCGGCCCGGGTTCCTAAACCTTCGGGTTCTGAGCCCAACAGAATACCCCGTAACGTAGAAGCTTTAAATTTGAATAGCATGTTCGGTTAGTTTAGAAAAAACATCATACAGGGTCGTCTGCATGTTAGGATTCACAAGTCCCGTGGCACTCGCTGGACACGGATCTTCCCGCGTCAAGTTTCGTTTTGGTCATGCTTATAATCCGTACCATTCGTCAGCAGTTGATTATTCCCGAACCATCACCCAAAGGGTCCCAGGTACTGTTATCGGGGATGCTTGCCCAACTCATAATGATAATTCCCGATATAGAAACCCGACATGCTACTACAAAGGTACTTAGGACCCTTTGGGTCAGGCGCAGCACATTGGTCGTTTCAAGCCCCCTGCTGGAATCACGACAAAGCATACATCAAGCTGACGCAGGATGCACAGCTGTGTGGCCGGCATACTGCTCTCTCCATTGCAGCGGCATTGTCTACTCCAGAAATCATCGAGGAGTGCTTCAGGGTGATCCGAAGTCGGTGCCATCGCTGAAATTGTTTCCTCCGAAGGTATTACTACAAGGGTCATGGCAAGCTTTGCACCAACACGGAGAGACCAGTGTTATTGCTACAGCCTTCAAGGTCCAAGATTGGGTAGAGTCTCTTTCGCCCTCAGTGAAGGCCTCTTCAGGACTTTAGATATAGGAGCTGTTCACACGCATGGGTCCAGGATGAACACTGTACTAGAGAAGCCTAAACAGTTACTAATAATATTCCTTAGGGTTCCTAAGCCCTAAAGTCTAAAAACCCTAAACCCTACTCTACTTTGACGGAGCCCTCAACCCTGTTCTTATTATTAAGGCCACTGCACAAGGGACTCCAGATGCCAGTTCAAGTTTTGCAAACTGTACTTATTCAGTCCCATGAACCTCCAAGTATCACACCCTTACACCTTGATCCCTGGGAAAAGCACCGCCAGGAGCTTCTAGCAGCTGGTGCGAAGCCCGACATCTCAAACGACAAGCTTGGGAACACTCCTCTAGGCCTCGTAGGGTTTAGTTTTTAGGTTCAGGGTATGAAAGTGCCACAGTACATGTGCAAGGTTACTGTCTTGAGGTCTTCTGCATGAACCCGGTGTAACCATGGTACCTTATCCCACACTCTAGGTAAGTGGCTGTCTAGCAAGAGGATAACCCTTAAGGGCCTAAGGGTCCATGTGCCCAAACAGCATATACTTTGGCCCCAAAATATCTATATAGGGACTACTTCAGGGCCAAAGTTTATGCTATGGGCATGTGGACCCTCAGGGTAAGAGGAGAAATCAGAGCTGCCTGTTGCTGACGTGGTGGGGCTTCAAGGGTTGGGAATTCTAGTGCCCTATGGCCCGTCGGAGAGTTGGCCTGCTGTGAAGTCGTTGCTGCTCGGGGCGTAGGGTCCCGATATTATCGATCAGGTTCCAGGCTGTTCCAGGGTTCAAGACTCAGGGTTCATATTCCTGGAATATTATATAACCCTAAACCTCTAAATCCTAATCCCAAAACCCTACAACATGGAGTTCAGGAAACGAGAGAAGCCGAAGCATTGGGTTCTTGTTGCTGAGGCTCATGAATGAAGGCTTGCGTTAATGGGCTAATATAGAAGCCTCACCGACTTTTTTTGTAGGTTCTTATGATAAACCCTAACCATAGATTTGTTTCCTAACCAAAACCGACTTTCTTGTAGGTCTTGGACTAGGGCACTTACTTCTTCCCTGTCAAGCCAAAAGCCCCTGAAAGCAAAGACCCCTTGTGGAGGAATGGCCGCACTTTTCGGCAACCATGCAGTGATTCCCGCACTGGTGGAGGAGGGGCACGAAGAGGTGGGAAGAGGGAGGCGAAAGAAGAGAGTTTTTAGCGGACCGGGAGCTTCAGGGAGCGTGCTAATTACATGCAGCTCTCACTCCTTAGCGACAGTCTGGCGGGTCTGCAGTGCAGCACTCCACAGCACGACCCACGTAGTTCAATGATGCCAGAACTTGTAACATGACCCTACCCCCCCAGGTACCTACTATATGGGGCCCTAGGGGCTCTAGTACCCTATATAGTGGGTACCTGTGGCCTAGGGTGAAGCATGTCAAGCCAAGTTCGCGAACACACGTGTGCAGTAAGCCCTGCCACCACAGGTTCACAGAGGCAATTACCTGGGCCATGCACCAATCGTGTTGGCCGTGACGACGCAGAACGCGCAGGCCTGCTTCGAGTGCACGGGTTCCCGGGTTCCACAGTATCCTGCAACCTGAACCCCAAAAAATCCAAAGCCCTAAATTCCTAATTTTTGAAGCCTGAATAAAGAATAATTACCAGTAGTTGTCGTTGAGGTTCCGAATTGCAACTATTGAGGCCCCGATATGAAACCCCGCAGCTGATAGAAGAGCTCCAGGTCACCGACCGGCTGTTGCGGCTGAAAGCCGACCCGTTCCTTAGCTGAAGATGAGGGGCCCTGGGTTACTTGGAGGCCCAGGGAACTTAGTAAGTCGGTTATAACTGGCTTTATAATTGGAATAACGCCATTTAGGGTACTTATAACTCTACTTATAACCTACTTACTAAGTCCCGTGGGCCTCCAAGTAGGTCAGAGTTTAGGGTTTGGGGTCCTCCAAAATGCTTAGAGACTTCGAACCTCTACCGCTCTGTCGTGGGTGATGCATAGGCGGCTGCAGCTTTAGACTCCTAAGCTCCTAGCTCACGAAACGCCTGGAGTCTTCTTTCGCGTCATGTGTTCAATGCCCCAGAGCTCCTCTTTCGAGACTCGGTTGGCGAATAGTTCCAGTAGTCACCGACTACCCAAGGTCTGGTTTCAGTGCTTACCCGGGTTCATGTGGGGTTTTGGGGCTTGTTTGGGGTTTGGGGTTGCTGTCTCGCAGATCGCTGGCTTCAGCGACACCAACAGTCAGCATAATCGTAACAAGAAGAGTTCACACTGTAGGATCCACACGGATCGATAGTAGAAGGACTAGGTATAGTTGTAACATGTTGGAACTTAGAGCGATAGCAAAGACATCAACCCAGTAGTGTCCTTCCCCGCTGTGTCAGCAGAAATAAGTCGTTATATGCACAAATAAATACACATAGACATATGCGTATACATACTTTTTACATAACATACCACATACACATATACATCATATGCACATATATTCATATACATACATCTGCTTTCTGCTTTCGTGGCACTGAGTCAA